AATTTTATTTTTTGTTTCCAACATCGAAATTGGCGTCACCAGATCAATCATCAATCTGCCCGGGAATTTGGACTAACATGGCAAAGAGCTTGCTCCACACATCGACCCAAGTTTCATGTCTTGTCCCTGTAAAATCTTGGTTTGTTATTGTATTCGATTTCACTTATGTGGTCTCAGTGATTGCACTGCTCCTGCCTAACCTCACCGGTGTAGGTTAGCTATTCCATTTTCAATTCTTGATGTCCGTGAAACGCGAATCGTAAGAGCTAAGGGGCCTTTGTTTACTTGAAAGCTGCGGGGGTGAGCGGCAAAAAACATGCGTCTTATTGAACATGTCCCCCACTTTTGGCTCAGCATTCTTGCTTTGTTGCTTTTAATTGGCGGTACTGAGCAATGGCTTCGCGGGCATCCGTGCTGAGGCGATGCATTCGTCCGGCTCACACATGGGTTGTTACAATTATGTTTTGGTAATGTACCTTGAACATTCAGTGCTGCCCAAGGGTTTACATGATCCCATATGTTTCATTTCAGTTTCATGACTTGCACGTATTTTGCGCATATTTCTAATCATTAACGAGAGGGTTTCAATTCAAGGTTTTCAGATTTTGGTTAAAGGTGTAGCATGGCCGATGACAGCCTGTCCGTTGACCCAGGAATTTCCGTGTGAAGTTGTTAGGAATTAACCCAAAGCCTTTGTGAAGGTTCGTACATGGTTTCGACAGGGCGGGGCTTTTACATCGTAAGTTTATTCTTGTACTCACATGTAACCCATGTCCAATTTTTCCATGCGAGGTTATGCAGCCACCAACAATTTGGCATTATTCAAGGTTTCGTGTTTCCCATTTGTATGCGTTGGACTTGGTTTTCCTATGGTTTGTTTTTGTCATGGTGATGCAAAGACCCTGCGCGTCTTTTTTTTCGTTTTGAAATCGTGAACAACCTAGCACCATCAGCAGGAGCTGATGTTGAGTTCAATGTTCAAATCCAACGACAAGAAGAAAATCTTTGTTCCGTAATGTATACCGTATAATGCCACATCAATACAATTTCCAATCTTTACTTGACCGACCCACGTGTGGAACAAATAGAAACCCCAGCCATCAACACTTTGACTTGGGCAAAACAGTTCTACGGCGCGTCTTCGCCACAAGTCCTTTTCCTTGTTTTGTGTTTGCAGGAGAGTGCGTAGGTTCAGGGTGCAAGGGTTATGGTTTAGGTCTCGGGGTTTAGGGTCTCATGTTCACGCTACGGCTGCTGGGCAGTATCCTATGTTCTGAAGGGTGTCCAGCTTAGAATTTTGAGCCCAAACCTATGGCTCTTGGTTTAAGGTATGGTTTCACAAGATTGTTTCATTTTTTGGGGGCGGGTCCCCAGAATAAGGAAAATAGTATATTGGGGTCCATATTGGGGTCCCTAAACCCCAAACCAAATATTTCTGTGGTAGACTGTAATCAACACGAGTCTCCGAGTGCGGGAGAGTTGCAGATGCCGAGACCCCTGTCGTAGAATAATCTAGGGTTTAGGGTTTAGGGCCGGAAAACTCACCAACTTAAACCCTCAAGCCGTGCCCTTCGCGTAAAGACTATTGTTTAGTGATTTAAAGCCTTGGGCCCTCAATCCCGAACTTAGAACCCAAACCTTAAACCTCCAACTTTAAACCATGAACGCCTGATAGAAAGAACCTACACCGTGTGACGGTGCCCCAAGACCTTGCTTTCATCTGAGTTTAGCGTGCAGGGTTTTTCGGGCGCAGACAGGGCGTAAAGGGTTGAATAAATCATTCCTCTAATAGTAAACTCCCCCGGCACGCCGAATGTTACATATTCCGACTACAATATATCACAATGGGAGTATTGAAGGTTTGGGTGATGTGGGGGTTCAGTACCAGGGGAGGGGATTCTGGGCTTGAAAGATTTCAAGGTTTCAAAGGTTTGCAAGGCTGTATGGGGTTGATAGGGCTTCAATGGTTGCACATGATTGATAGGGTATATGGGGTTTAGGGTGTGGGGTCTCTTTTTTTCAGCTTCGTTTCCCAAGCCCCCGCGCACCCCTGATCTGCAATGATGTCAGATCTGGAAATTGAATGCCACAGACGTCTACCGCGACCCTTTTTTTGTGAAGCATCATGGTGACGTTCCTGAAGAACCCCCTGTGTAGTTTTGCAACATTGTAAGTTACTCTAAATCCGCAATCCGAGTCCTAAACCCTGAATCTGAACCCCAAATTTCAATCCCTAAACCAAATCCGAAAGCATACTTGGGGGGTCAGGGGGACTTTGTAAGTAGGTTAATCGCCCTTATAGCTCATATAGGAACCCTAATTATCCCCATTATTTTAACCTGCTTACTAAGTCCCCCTGACCCTCCAAATAGACCGTTATGTCCATGCGTTCATAGGCCGCTTCTGCGTAGCTGCCAGTTGGGCTTGCGCGGCTTGCACAGCAGTCCCTTTTCTCCAACAGTTTCAGCCCTGTTGTATGCCCAGATTTTGCGTTTACGGTTTAGGATTTGGTGCAGGGTTTGAGGGTTTAGGGCTTAAGATTTAGGTTTCGGGACGTAGGGATGAAATCTTGCACGGGTTGTATACCTCATAGCATGTACACATATACACTTGTCTTTTGATCAAATGCTTTGCTTGGAGTGTGGGAGAGAGCCTTGCGCCCCACATAAGGCCCCTGAAGCACTGTACTTCCCAGCGTTCAGGTTCGTGCAGGATTTGCTCCTTTGACCTTGGGATTAAGGTTTAAGGGTCAGGGATTGAGGTTCTTTCAATTTTAGGTTGCAGATTTTGTGGCAAGGGTTATGGGGTTTGGGGTTCCGAGTTCAGGAATGGGGGTTAGCTGGAAAATCATTCTGCCACTGTGGATCCTTGTGGGATACCAAATGTGGTAAAGCAAAGGTGGGGCTCTGATTCTGGCAATACAGTATGCATTGGATGGGGCTAGTGTTTAGGAGTCGCAGTTTGAGCACGTAAACCCATAAACCCCAAACCTTAGACCCGGCCTTAGACCCTCATGCGTAAGCCCCAAACTAAGCAACCCTTAACCACACTAAGCCCTAAGTAGCCTTGTAAACAGAAAGGAATAACCTTGAACCCTAGACCCTAAACAACCCCTAGGCCCAAAACCATCTGGGGCTGGGGGTTTTGGAGTTGAACTTTCTGTGCCCGGTCGGCTGGTGTTAGAGGAGTGCAGGGGGGATTTTTCGGGATAAAGGGTTCAGAGTTGAGTGTTGGTGCGGGAGGTGTATTTTGGTTTGGCTGTGAAAAAACGGCCCAGCCTTAAACCCTGAAGCTCAACGGTGGGCATAGGGTCTTATCTATTGTGACGGTGGTATTCTCCGTTGACCCTGAAACCTCTAAACTTTAGACCTTAAAACCTTGAACCACATGCTAGCATGCTCCTAAGGCCGTCGGTGCTTGGATCAAGAGAAGGTGTCTTTTCCTTGAATGTGATGGGGAGAAGTGATTACGTCAGGTTCGCCATAGTCTAATCTCCAAGTATCCCCCTTAATAGCCCCTATAGTAGTCCCCTGTATAATCTCTATGCAACCATCTTCGAGGAGTTTAGATTATAGCTCAGATTACTCCAGGTTTCGGCTATGAGACCTGGCACAGTTCGGGTTCAGGGCTCTTTTTTTGGGTTTGTACAGTTCCGCTTCAGGGCCATGGGAAGCACACAATCCTTTCAGTTTTCAGGGATCCAAGAGTTTTTTTGCGTCTCCTTTGGTAGCGCATCTACAAGGGGACCTTACTTCCAGCTACAAGATACGATGCTATGAACCGTGATTCCGATGAGAAGCTTGTTTGGATTCAGGGTGAAAGCTTTTGAGGCTGAGGGGCTCTGGCCCCTAAATCTTAGTCATCGTTTCAACTTTCCAAAAAGCATAGCGTACAATCTGTGCTGCACTATGCAAAACTCCCTCATGGAATTCCTGCGCTTAGTGCAACTTTAAAAACGGTTCTCTCCCCTAATTAGCCCCAGCTACCCTTAAATAAACCGAATGGAAGGGGAACCTACGGGGTAGTACAGGGCCAGGTCGTAGGGGCACTCATGAATCAAGGGGGATTGCTTCTGTGTTTAAGGCAGGCTATGGGTCTTGATCTACAGTTTGGACATGCACTGTTACTCAGTGTAAAGTGGAATCCAGAGAGCATCCGGACAAAGACGAGTGTGATTGTAAAGTAGCCCTAAACCCGAAACCCTGAACTCCAAACCCTATATAACTGCCTCTACTATAACCGCCTTTAAGGAATTCCAATATAACTTCCAATGGTTTCCATGTTTTTTTATTGGGTAAACCTCAAACGTGTGAGTTTCTGCACCTGCTCTCGGTCGAGGCGCGTTTCCCCCCATAGGTCGTAGTCAGGAGCATGGAGAATTTCAGAAGTTTCTATGCAGATATGCATGATACGTCCCTGAAGACTAAAGCATATGTGGACGCAAGCCCTGAACTCCCTGAAAGTATAGTGGTTTAGGATGTTTTTTGGCCAGCCCAGAAAGATAAGCCCAGTAAGGGTTATTGTTGTGACTACCAGTTATTATTTTCACTACAATGATTATTGTTATCATTATCATTAGCAAAATCTCCAAGCATGCCCCATATATGTGCTATATATATGCCATATAATTTATGTATATATGTATGTATGTATATATTTATATATGTATATATGTATACATATACATATATATATATATATGTATATGTATATATATATATGTATATGTATGTATGTATGTATGTATGTATGTATGTATGTATGTATGTATATACGTCTCTTCGCAAGTCCTAAGCTGCAAGCCAAGACTTTGAACTTTAAACCCTGAATCAAAAATCCGAAGCCTTGGGCATGGTTGGGCCTCAATGTTAACAAGAAAGGGGTTTAGGGTTTAGGGTTGAAGGGGCAATTCCATTCGAAGCGATCTGGCAGGTGAGACATGCGGTCGGTGCTTGTAAACATGCCTGCTCCTTGGTGCACTGCTCCCTCAAGCTTGTAAGATGTCTGTAGAGGTAGGCGATTTAATCTTCTGCCGTATCCATGGAGACGATGGGGAGGGAATACCAGTGACTGCTTGGGTTGTTGAGCTATTGGACGGTGACGCTGTTTGTGGTACTTCGGAAGCAGGTGCCAGTGAGATCGAACATAAGGTGACTGCCAAAGCTGGAGAGACAACCATTGCTTTTCTTAGAGTTCCAGTGGGGGCCGTGGCATGTTCTAAGCCGCCTTATTGGGGCGGTCCTCGTGCGGGGGATATACCCTCGCTGGGTGCTTGCCGTGCAGCATGGAAGAAAGCTCCGACCGGGCAACTTGTGAGCAGCGATGCAGAACTGGAGCCCCATCGACCCGCCAAGCCCGAGAAGAAAACCGCGCGCTTGGCGCAGGACCTGAAAGGTTGGGAGAAGTTGATGCGGGGGGAAGCCTCCGAAGACGACGACGAAGAAGACAGCGAGGAGGGCGACGACGACGGCGGCATCCTCCCGCCGGGCCAGAAGAGTGTCACCAAGTCCCGCAAGCAGAAGGTGGAGAAGACCGATACCACGGCCTTCCAATCTCTGTTGGCTGCGGGGGTGGCCTCGGGGTCCGAGCCCAGAGACCTGCTGACCCTTTACCTCCTGAACCAGATTATGTCCCAGCAACGGTCCAGGAAGAAAAAGAAGAAGCACGCCTCATCCTCAACCGAGCTCCTTGGTGGTTCCAGCAGCGACGAGTCCGACAGCGACAGAGAATCTGGCGACGGCAAAGGTATGAAAGCTGTCTCCTCGCTGCATCGCCTTCACGATCAAATCCTTCGGAAGCCGAGGCGTGTTCGAGAGATATTCGAAGCCGAGGTGGTGAAGGAATTGGGCGTGGTGTCGGGCCAAGCATGGACCTTAAAGGACTGGGTCAAGAAGCAAAATTGGGGCCGCTTCAGGGGTCTCTTCAGGACGGCTATAATGGACGTAGCTGTGTACGAACAGTTGAGGGCAGGAAAAGCAGATGTGGCACAGGCACAGTTGATTCAAAACCTCAAGAGCAAAGTCCAAGCTGTGCTCGCCAATGGCGATTGGGAGACGGCCTGGCTGCTAACAGGCCTCGCGGATCCACTGCAGAGAAAAGATTTCTCAGGCACGAAAGAAGAGATGGCGATTATCTCTGGCTACGTGGATGCGATGACTCGCCTGAAGAAGCGGGTCAAGGAGGCGCAAGGTCAGGCAGAGGGCGACGACGACGAGGGCGGCGCCGGCCTCCGCAAGTGACATCGGACGACAAGCTGCATGCTGGTTCTTCCCTGTACTTCTGCCTTAGGCACCCGAAGCTGGAGAGCCCTAATTCGTCAAAATTTTTCCGACACATGACCTGGTTCGAACGTGTCCAATGTGATTTGCCAGAGCGGTCTGGCGATGATGTTAGGCTTTTTCCATGTGCTCTTCCGTATCCTGAAGTCTTGCGGCTCGAGACGGCAGTTGATGAGATCGAGGCACGGCAGATTTGGGCTATGCAGTTGTTGAACACCTTCATTGCATGGTCTAATTTTGTGGTGCTGGGTTGTCCGGATGGAGCATGTGCGCCGCAAGTGACTTATCGTTCGGCATGCGAGGCTCGGAGCTTTGCTGATAGGTTGCTTCGTGAGGCCATTGAATTCGCAAGTCCCGACTTGGTCACTGGTCGCTTGACATGTGCAGGTAAGAGAGCGACTGTGGAGGCACTCCTTGAACAAGTGGGCTCTTTTGCGGCTGCAGGTTACATTGATCCTGTTCAGGTGGATTCCGCTTCTTCTACGGCATTGCCGGTCACGGCAGAACGTGTGGCTGTGCCCGAGAGAGCGGGGCGAGTGGATCCTCTGGAGTGGTTGCCGGAGGCCCAAGCACGGGTGGTGGCAGACCTCGAAGGGTTGAGAAAAGAACCGCACCTTTGGGAGGAGATCTGTCATGCTTGCCATCGAGTTCCGGAAGGCGGCGAGGCAGAGCTGGCACAGAAGCTCCTTGACACGGACATGGCAGTTCTAGTTCCTGAGCATGAGCTACCACGTGATCGGCGTGGCAAGTTGATGCAGGGGGGGCTTTTCTGTGTTGAGAAGAATGCGCAGGAAGACCGCCTCATCTTTGACCGGCGGCCGGAGAATGCCACGATGCCGAGGCTGGAATGGGCTGCATTACCCTCTGCTGCCTGTTTTGCACGAATGCTGTTGGAACCTTGCCAGTATTTGCGTGCCTCTGGGGATGATTTAAGGAACTTTTATTATATGCTGCGGCTCCCCCCTAACTGGGTTCGCTTTAATTCTGTTGGTCGTAGGGTTGACTCGCATGTGGTGGAGCAGCATGGCCTTGATCCAGCAGTACCTCACCGATTGTGCTTTCGAGTGCTGGGTATGGGGGACCGCAATGGTTGCGCAATTGCCCAGGCCACTCACGAGGCTATCCTCAAATCGGTGGGCCTGCTCGACCCTCAGGAGACTCTAGCGTATGGTCGTACAGTTCCAGCGGGTGATCTATGGCAAGGTGTGTACTTGGATGATTTGCTCATTGCTTCTCGCCAGACCCTTGCTGACCCCGTCCCCCTTGATGGCACATTCATTCCGCCGATTGCTCAGGCCAGCGATCCGGACATGGTGCTCACCAAGGCGGCTGAGGCAGGATATGAGAAGGCCAACCTGGAGCGAGCTTTGCATAAATCCTTCCGAGCTCTGACCCAGTTCAAGGCTTGGGGAGGCGAGATAGATGGAGTCAAAGGTCGAGCGGGAGCCCCAAAGGAAGTCCGTCGGCAGGTATGGTATCTAATTTCCTTGGTGGTCGCTCAGGGCTGGGCATCGAAGGCGGTTCTCCAGAAGATCAACGGCTTTTTAGCGTTTGCCTTTCAATTCAGGCGCGAGCTCTTTTGTTTGCAACATCATGTTTACCACTTCGTGAGTGAGATGCATGCTACCAAGTGGGTTCGTCTACCGGGATTCGTCATCGATGAGCTGCGCAGTTTAAGTATTCACCTTGTGTTCGCAGAGTGGAACATGCGTCGCAGGGTGAGTTCGTCGGTGTTGGCCACTGACGCTACACCAACGACAGGCGGAGCAGTACGTGCTGATGCTCCGGAACCCCTTGTTAAAGAATTGTGGCGGCGCTCTGAAATCCGAGGTGCTCCTGTCCGGCTTGACCGCTCTGACGATGCTGACATGACTGAGGCTCCCATTGAAACGTCCCACTTTGCTAGCACGTGTGGAGAATGTCTGCCTTGGTCGGAAGTTGCCAGGTACACTTTCAGGGAGACGAGCCACATCAACTTGCAAGAGGCCCGGGCTTTGCGTCGGGAAGTGTGCAAGCTGGCCTCAAAGTTCGAAAGTGGCGGACAGATTCAGGTTTGCCTCAATGACTCCATGGTCTGTGTCTGTGCCTTTGCTAAGGGTCGATCCTCATCTCGGAAATTGAACAACATCCTGCGTGGGCTACTGCCCTGCCTTATTCTGGGAGATGTAGTGCTGGCCTTGCTCTGGGTGGAAACTGAGTCCAACTTCGCTGACCATCCATCTCGCTTTCGGCCACTGCCTCCTCCTCGAAAACCCCCAGGTTGGCTTCATTCTTACGGTGTCTTTGGGGCTGACATGTTCCCTGGTCTGGAGGTCTTTGCTGGATCAGCTCGCATCACGGCAGCTCACTTGAAGGTCGGCGTTCGGATGTTTGATCCCATTGATGAGCTTTGGGGTGGTGATGCCTTTGACCCAAGGATCGACTGGCTCATCAAGTCTCGTCAGGTGCGCTGGCTGTGGTTGGCTCCGCCATGCAGTTCTTTTTCGCCCCTCCGTAATCTTGACAGGGGCGGACCTCTACGCCCTGCAGCACATCCTGAAGGCGATGACGCCATCCCTGAGGTACGCTTGGGGAATCTCCTTTGGAGTAGGGCCTTAGAGTTGGCGGTGATGATCATTGGACAGGACGGCTTCTTTATCATCGAACACCCGAGAGGGTCGAAGGCCTGGACCCTAAAACAGACCCAGCGTATGCAACGATACCATGGATGTCGGATGTACCCTGTTGATTATGGGGGCGCCTCAAATCCTGGCTTGCCAAACCAAAAGCCGACCACCTTGCTCACCAATGCCCCTTGGGTCCCCAATGTTTTGAAACGATGTCCAAAAACTCATGTACATGGGCCACCATTGAGGGGGGCTCGAGCCAAAGCTGCCGGGGCTTACCCAAAGGGGTTTGCTGAAGCTCTTGCTGATGCCTGCTGGACGTGGGCGTCGGGGGGGGCGGCTCCATGATCAGACTTTGACACCCCAGTATCGTCGGCATCTACGTGAGGCTGGAGCTTGGATACTGGGGAAGGCTGCGGAGCTAGGCAGCTCACTCAACTCACGAAGTTCCTCAAGGTGGGTTGACCAAGCCTTGGAGAGGGTAGTTGAATGGTCCCACGGACACGGGGAAAAGCTCTATTGGATCACGCTCGGAGTGCTTAGTGTGCAGCGTCAATATAGGTTGTCGGCGCCGTTGCTTCGATCCACTTGGGCAGCTATCAAATCGTGGCGGCTACTCCAACCCGTTCAGCCTAGGGTGCCAATAACATTCTACGTGTTGAGGTGTTTTCTAGTGGCCTGTTTGGGGCGTGTGAACAGGACGTCGTCTCCGTTGCGGGTGGAGTGGATGTCTACTCTGCTCGCAGCTTGGCTGGCTTTTGAGGGGATGTTAAGGCCGGGTGAAGTCGAACGCTTGATCATAAAGGACTTCTGTTTTCCGGAAGATGTCGAGCTCTCTGAAGGCATCGGCCTTGTCCTCAACATTCGTCAAGCAAAAACTAGAAGAGTTTGGGCTAGCCAGTTTGTCATCATCCGGAGCCAGGTCCTCGTCAGCTGGTTGAAATGGTGGTGCGAGGGCCAGCGACCAAACTCGTTCTTCCTTCAGGTGAGCCGTCGTAAGTGGGCCGTACTGTTTAAGGAGGTGATGGAGTCGTTGCAACTGGAGAAATGTGGCTTGACCTTAGGCTCTTTGCGTGGTGGAGGTGCCTGCCACCGGTTCAGAGTGGAGCAGAACTTGGGCACCCTCCAGTTCGCAGGCCGTTGGCGGCGCCCTGAGACCCTACGCCATTACCTCCAAGAGGCGCTGGCCATTCACACGTTGGCGCATGCGCCTGCGGCAAGTCGAGAGTTACTGAGCCTTTGTTTTGCACACGTGCACTTGCTTGAGCAACCGCCTCGCCGATCACGTCAAGTTCTCCTTAGCTAGCATCCTGATGTCGAGTCGCCTGAGCCGGGCGCTCCGTGAGCTGGCTGCCGCTTTGGAAGAGGAAGACGGTGGCTGGGAAGTGGTTTCCGAGTTGGGGGCTGCTGGTACGTCAGGTTCGGCTGGCTCAGGCTTGGCTTCAAAGGACGCTGAGTCAGTCCGAAAGCGGGGGAAGGCCTCCGAGGGGGTGACCGCCAAGGGTGCTGGAGCCGGTTCGCTCAAGCCAGAGCAGTGCGAAGCTTCTGGAGAGAAGAAGGCTGGCGCGCCTGTGTGTGGATCGACGGTAAGTTACCACCAAGATCTGCGCCACTACATCGTGCTTGAGTGCCCGGGTCGACCCGGCTTCATCGGATATACGTGTGGGCCAGCTGCTACAACATGGAAGCTGTTGGAGAAGCAGCTCCCAGGCGGCCGGTTATCCGGCTCACGGGCACGCCTTCGACGCGTACAAGACCGTCGTCAAGCAGAAGACCTGTGGGCCGTCAGCTACCCGAACGAGCCCATGCCGAACCTCCCGTTGTAGGGGAGATCCAGGCTGAAGCGGCGACTTCGGTCATGCAAGCAGTGAAGGGGGCGGCCTCAGCTCTTGGTGGAGAGCCAGTGGACAAGGATGGCCGTTCCGCCGCTCAAGTGCTAGAGGATCCTGCTGGCATGGCACAGGCTGCTAGGTGGCGTTCAGGGAACGCCACCCGCAGGATGACTTCGATGCTGTGCCGCATGGCCCAGAACCTTAGAGGATGGGTGACTGGTCCAACGCGCAGCTCCGACACCGTTCTCCAAGAGCCGTTGCCGGTACGACCCCGACCTCTTCGTGGCCAGACGGGCAACCAGGCGGGAGCGCCTGCAGCACAGCGTGGCTGGTCGTGGTTTCCCTCGCGCTGGAGATGGTGGATGTTCATCCTAGTGATGGTGGCCGTCTTGTTTCCCAGGATAGTGGCGCTGCTTTTGGCACTGGTGATTCGGCTCATCACCCGTGCTTTCCTGTCGCTGACAATGCATGTCTTCAAGGAGGTTTGGTCCCAGGCCATGATGGCGGCGGCTGAATTTGAGGAGGGCATTGCTCAGTGGCTTTACATGCAGCTGGGATTAGTTGTTCCCATTGCACCAGCTCAGCCGCCTCTATTGACAAATGGAGGGGCAGCATCCACACCTCCATCAACACCTAGTGCTGGACAGCCCCACCCTACCCGCCCTATCGATGTCCTCCTGGTGCTGATGCTCGGCCTGGGTCTTCGGCGTCCTCCACAGAATGGGGGGAATGGGGGAGATGCCAGGTGATGCTCCTGAGATTCTTCTCCTGAGATTCTCTCAAAATTTCGAGGCCAATTTGGCCACATGTGTCCGTGACTTTGTCAATGCCTACGAGGAGGAATGCTCTGCAGGATATCTCCTAAGATCTCGATTGACACTTGCAGTCCTGGTCAAAAAGTGCTTGAGCGAGGCCCTTTTCTGAGTGCACCCAGGTTGAGCTGCTGAAGGGAATTAGAGTTTAGGGGTTTAGGGTTTAGGGTTTAGGGGTTTAGGGTTTAGGGTTTAGGGGTTTAGGGTTTAGGGTTCAGGTTTTAGGGTTTAGGGTAGAAACCTTGCTTGGAGGCCCATGGGACTTAGTAAGTACTTATAACTGGGCTTATAACCCAACTTAGAATCCCCCTAAAATGGGCTTATAGAGGTTATCCCAATTATAAGTAGGGTTATGTACTTATAACTGGGATTATGCCCCCCACTTGCTACTAAGTTTCAGGGGCCTCCAAGTACCTCATGGAAAGCAACTCCTTACTTCTCGGGTTTCACGGAGACGTCTTATAGTGTTTCTGACCTGGTACCCTAAAAACCCTATACACCCCATAGCCTCCATGAACCCCATAAACCTTGAAAACCATATCAACCTTACATCAGCACATATGTCTCCGTATTTAAATTCTATAAGCATCACAAAAGTACATGTGTACCCTTATGACCAATTTTCAGGGCCTCTGAAGTCCATCCCCCAATGTATATCCAGACCTCCTAACGGATCCAAAAACTGGTTTCCTTAACAATCCCCTGAAGTTCCCCCATGTAGTAAACCCTAAACCCTAAACCCTAAACCCAAAACCCTAAACCCTAAGCCCTAAACCCTAAACTCGATGCATAGGCGAGGCACCGGATTGCAGATGCACTGAGAGCGAGCCCGCTAGGAGCCCAGGAAAGTTTTGTTGTTTTGGGGGTCATTTCGTAGGGTTTAGGGTTTAGGGTCTAGGGTCTAGGGTTTAGGGTTTAGGGTTTAGGGTCTAGGGTTTAGGGTTTAGGGGTTCAGGGTTTAGGGTTTAGATTGGGTACTGCCCACACCCAGTATCAGTCTACATTAGGGGTCCTATCAATGGCTATATAAAACCATATTATAGTTATTCTCCGACTGTTACTGAGTGGGGGCAGTACCCAAGGGTTAGGGTTTGAGATTTAGGCTTGGGGGTTTAGGGTTTAGGCCTTGGGGTTTAGGGTTTAGGGTTTGGGTAGCTCCCGAAATTAGTGTCCCATCTTGGTACCCCTGAATATTAGGTACCGCAATATCATCTATAGCCAAAAGTGGCCCATGGTTTTGAGAATAAGCCATTTGTTTTGAAAGGCTATGGCTTGGGTTTCGGGGCTCGTTGCTTGGGGTTTTGGTTACGATCTAGGGTTTAGGGTTTGGGTATCAGGGCTTAAATTTTACGGGTTTAGGACTTATGATCTAGGACGGTTCAGGGTTTAGGGTTTAGGGTTTTGGGCTGGGAGGCCTAATATTACATAGACGTTTTTGGGGATTCTACACGGTTTACGTCCGGATTACATAGGGTTCATTGTCTTCTTGATGACAAGTTTCTGATTCAGAGTTGGGGGTTCAGGCTCCCTCAACCCTAAACCCGAAACTTTCATACTCCCTTTAAAGGACTTCTTAGAGGTAGCACTTCTCCTTGTTTTGAATAGTGCATCGGGCTTTGGCTAGAGTTTGGGGTTTTGGGCTTAGGAAGGGGTTTGGGCCCTAGGGTGTAGGGTTTAGGGACCCTAAATCCTGAACCTATACCCTGAACCCCAAACCCTCAAGCTTGTATCCTAAACCCTTTACCCTAAACTCTAAGCCTTCTTGGTGTAGGATGGAGGGCTTGTCCCTGAACCCTAAACATCATAAGGATGTCCCCCCCTTTGACCCCGAAACAATTTGGTTTAGGGTTTAGGGTTTAGGGTTCAGAGTTTAGGGTTTAGGGTTTAGGGTTGTAATCTCCTTGTATGCCCTCCAAATCCCTTGCGGGCCATAACTAAGATTCATGAGAATCTGTAACGCGCAACTGCATACTGCATGGTCTGAAGAGTTGTTAGAGATGATCCCACCCTTGCTCGCATTCCATGGCTTGCTCACTCTCTCCCCCTTGCCTAAAACCTAAACCCTAAACCTGAAACCCTAAACCCTAAAGCTTAGGAAGTTAAACCCTACACCCGGTGCCCGAAACATATTGCAAGTCACCCCCTTCAGGCGCCAAAGGCACGGTCTAGGGGCCCGGGACTTGGTGCTTAGCCTTACGACGACTCTACGACTCCTAACCCACATGAGCTATAGTCTAAACTCCTTAAAGGGGGGTTATATAGGGGATTATATAGGGGATTAGTATAGGGGCTATTAAGGGGGATACTAGGAGTTTAGACTATAGCTCACATGGTGTAGGTTTAATTTTAGAGCTTAAGGGGGAGGGTCAACGGCTTACGTCTACGCCAACCAAGTTCCCCGCATGCAAAACTTTAAGAATCAGCCCTACAAAGACAACTGCCCTACATCCCATTTCCATGTGTGCTAATCTAAACTCCCAGTATCCCCCTTGATAACCCCTATAATACTCCCCTATATAATCAGTCTCCTATATAACTTTTGGACCCTAAACCCTAAACCCTGTACCCTACGGTAATTGGGAGAAGAATGACTGCCGTTAGATCTATGAAGCGTATAGCCCCGCTTCAAGCCAGCCGGCCGCAAGCCTCCAAGTTCATAGGGTTTAGGGTTTAGGGGTTTAGGGTTTAGGGGTTTAGGGTTTAGGGTTTAGGGGTTTAGGGGTTTAGGGTTTAGGGTTTAGGGTTGAGGATTTTGAGTTGGCAACGGCCTACAAAACATTTCATGAAGTTTTCCAAACATGAAGTGCCCCTTTCTGAGAGGTCCTATACTAAGCATTAAGGTGTATTGGGGTTTATATTGAAATCTTCTATTTATGGAGCCTCCAAAATCCCAAACCCTAAGCACCTACCTGAACATTTCAGGGCCAGCGTGTCACACCAGCTGCCCCATGACCATCACATCTTCGAAGATGCAGACGCTTGTCAACGGTTGTCGATTAAGTTATAGGTTCTGGGTTGTTGATCAGAAGATGCAAGTGCTTTGGTGTACGGTTCATTGTTGCACCCCCTAAACCCTACACTGCGTGCAGGAATATGTAGAAGCCCATGACAAGGATGCCAGACTGTTGATGTAATTGACAGGGACTGGTCAGTTGGTTGCTTGGTGCTTCAATCCTAAACCTTATAATCCCCCTTAGGTTAAAATTGGGGTATATGGGGATCTTATTATAATATACCAAAGCCATGTTCTATCTACTTTAGGGGGACTTGTATTTCTAGGTCATTCACTAGACTCATCAGGCACATTACGAGTGCTATCACATAATGCAGGGCATGAAACCATAATATCAATGCTGTAGTCCTAAATTCCTCGTAAAAAACATGCTACAGGCCAGGGTACCTCAAACAGACACGAAATCCATATCTGTAAACATGTAGGCCCCTACAGTAAAGAGGTTCATACGTTCAGGCTTCGAAGCAAATAAACTCTCGTCTATATAGCAAGCAAAAAGGCATCCTTATGCTGTAGCAGTCTCCACATAGCCCTCAATTATATGATGGCTTCCAGATGATGATGTAATGTTTTGGACTGGTGTCCGCATAATGTAGGGGCCAATGGAAAGGAACGTTGGGCATGAACTCGAAACTACAGTAAGGGAATGCTGGGTTGGTTTGCGTGGGTACTGGTATTTGCAAACTCTCGGCAGCCCTGAACTCTACTTCTAAACCCTGAACCTTTAGCCCGAAGACCGTCAAGTCAAGGACATGAAGATGTTGAACGATTTGGGCATACAAACTGTCTGGGTGCAGCACAATGCTCGACCCGGCACCTTGTATGACGAGGCGCTCTCAGTCAGGGGCATTGGATTTCGTAAAGAAATGTAGGTTGCCTAAACCTTAAGCCCTATGAGTTCAAGGATGTAGGATTTAGCGGTTTGGGTTTAGGGTTCAAGGATGTACTTGCCCCTGGTTATCTAGGAACAAAGGGATGGAACACATGGGAGTTCTTATATGCTTGGTAACATATTGCCTGCTATAAGGATCTTCGCCAGCTAGAGGTAAGTTCGGGGGTTTTACCGGCTTGGATTTTAGCGGCTTGGAATTTATCTCGTAGTCTGTTTCAAACCCTAAACCCTAAACCCTAAACCCTAAACCCGAAACGTGTGAATTCGCAGCCTGGAGCTCATCAGAGCTGGTTAGTTTGGAAGTGTCTGGATGTAGGTTTCAGTGCAATGGGAGGTAGTTAGGCGTAGTTTAGGTGGACCCCCCCCCACCCTGTAATAGTGGCTGCAATGGATAGTAGTAGTGATTAAATTAGGGTCCTCTTATATTCCCGGTCTTCCAAAGGTGCAGTGTGTTCTCGGTTGTGTGCTCCGCTTCGCAAGCGCTAGGGGCTGTGAGCTACACAGGTCTTAAACTGTGGTCCCTTTTTCATTTCCCAATGCCGGCCCAATTCTTGATCTCCTTTTCTTGGGACCCCTTTAGAACGAGACACCCAATTTCTTTAATCCTTCAATTTGCTAAAACATGTTTGAAGGGCTATTGTAACTAGCCTTGAAGCTTATCAAGAAGAAGGCCCTAGACCCCCCCAAACCCTAAACAATAAACCTTGAAGCCCGAAGCTTCAACCAACCCTCCTGGTCATCTCTAGACCTTGGGTACTGCCCCCACGCAGTAACAGTTTATACTAGGGGTCCTAGTAAGGGCTATANNGGCAGTACCCAACCTAAACCTAAGGCCCCTTACGATCGGTCGACCCAAGGAGGTCCTGACACTACAGGAGCCAAAATGAGTGCCTAAAAGACACCCTACTTACACATTCCAAGCTCATGTACCCAAGGAGCCCAAAGCCCTTAATTATGGGTAGGCCGCCAGTCCCGGAATATGTAGAGGCCCTGATATAATGACCATGATCTCTTGTGTTCTCTATTCGTGGG